TGGGCACACAGACTGGATTTGGTCTTCAGTGAAACAGTGTACCAATCATCTAGTCCACAGGGGTGAAAGTTTGGGCACTATTTCCTTAATATAGCTTCAACTTGCAATGGTCTGCACCAAACTCCAACTTACAGCATTGCCAAATGTGCCATTATCTTCCATCAAAAATAACAGCCGTAGTGGCTGAGATACTGCACAGGGTCTTTATCTAATCCATTAATTTTCATCCATATGCAAATTTCTCCTAATAGAGCACATTATAGAGGAATATGATTATATGCGAACCTGACAGCAAGCACTATAAACACAGAACAGTTTTCCTTGACAGGTTGCTGCTATTTACCAGGACTAGAGAGTTTGGACAAGGACATAAAAATGTTCCCTTTGTCACCAAGTCAGACAGACATGGTCCAGATGGCATGCTTAAAAGAGGCTATTTCAAGAACTTCCACAGTATTAAATTGTGGACATAGCTTCCTGGTGAACAGTACTTGATAGACTATAGTAATTATGTTTTTAGGGCAACACAACACATTTCTCTCATATCAGTTGGATGATATCTTTTCATTGGCAGAAAAAAGAAAAAGTTAATTTCATTAAAGAGCTTAGGTTTAGAAGGCTGAACTAGCACCTGTGTGCAGGTACACTTCAGGGCTAAGTACAGACAGTCAAAAAGCCCAACCTTCACAGGTTAGTCTAAGCAGCGTAGATTGAACCAATAAGCAAGTGGATGGACATTCACTTTTGAGTCAGGAAATGCAGCTACATATCTGCAGTGGCCCAGGCCAGAAACTACAGGGTGCTACAGCAGGCAGCTTGGGTCAAAGCTAGCCTGCCCAGCCTGCAAAGGGGGTTTTGCAGGGGAGGTACAAAGCATCCTGGGATGCTGAGGGACTCTGAGTTCACTTGAGTCTGGAGGGGACTTGGGGCAGAAGTTCAATAAACTGATTTAACCTAAATCAGTTAAGTCTGATACTACAACCATCCAGGTTTATTTTAAATTGGATTTCAGCCATTTTGAAAGCAGTTTATGTGCACTGAACTTCTGTTGTGTTACAGATTTGAACTGGTTTCTAATCACTTATACCAGTTTGTGTGTCATTTCTGTGCCTATTTCCAGAAGCCTGACTACCACAACAATGGCTCTAATGCCAGTTAATTTAGAAGTAACTCTTTAGTGCAAGTGTCAGAAGGCTGGATGTATGTTTCTCTGCATTATCACCAGGAGCTGTCATACTCTCTGATCAGAAGAACAATAAATATCCATCCTGAAAATAATTCCATATTTTGTCAGGATTTTAGCTGCATGTATTTGCCATAGCTTATTCATGAACAGAAAAGCTAGCATTAGGGCTGCAGATAAAATGAGGAGAGCACTGGGAAGAAGAAAGCCAAGTAAAGGGGGAAATCTGTGAGGAAAGAAAAGATGGGGCTGTTAAAAGACAACAGGAGAAGAGTGAAAGAAGGGTGGAAAGGAAGGAGAGAGGGCAGGGAAAGAAAGAAAATTGAGGGATAGCTAATAATAGGAAGCAGTGAAAAGTACAAGGATAGAGAAAAGAGAGAGAAAAAATGAATAAACAAGATTCACATGAAAGGAAAAAGAAGGGCTCGAAAACACTGTTTTAGAGGCTTCTGCCACTGATGCTGCTGTGATGGCCCTGGCCCTTACACAGTGTCAAGTGTGCTGGCAGCACTTAATCAATGCTATAGAATAACAATCATGCTCTTTTTTTTAATAATTGACACACAGTGCTGTTTTCCATTGTGTCAGTTCAGCAGCATGCAGACAGGCTAGCATCAGTGCCCATGATAGAAACTTTGTGGAAAGGTTCTTGCGGTGAACATGGAACAGTCAGATACTCAATACAGATCTTTGAAGCTTGTTAGCAAGAGATCAAGGAGATACCTTTTTCAGTCATCTCGTAATAATATAGCAGCAATTTATATGGCGGCTGGTAGATAACCACTAGCAAGTAACTTGACAAGCCCGCAGAGGGATGACTTTTGCTCAGTGTGTATGGATTATGCATGTGCTTATCATCTGGGTCCTCTGTGGTCCTCGGGATTCCCTACAAAATTGTCCTACAAAGATCTGCATCCCAGGCACAAGCTGTTGCTTAAGCCAGTGGTCTATGACTCCTGAGGATTCGTTACACAGGCTGAGATCAGTGGAGCCAACCTTGGCCAAGCTTCTTTTTCCAGCAGTGCTGGTGGAATCAATCCTCAAGGGGCAGCAAAGTCTACTTAGCACTGCTAAAATAACACAAAGCAGCCAGGCTGAAGCCCATCATGTTTTTTAATATCTTTGCCTTATTTTAAGTAACCCAAGAAGTGAAATTACTACCATTTGCTAAGAAGGCTCTTCCATTGTCCAATTGCTTTTACAGTGAGGTCTCTCTCACTCAGAATATTGGACCAATAAGCTCTTTTCCTCACTCATTATAACCTCTTCCTAGTGACCCAGGCCTTCAGTTCTCCCTTGCTTTTTGTTGTTGTTGTTTGATTCCTGATACAGATGTAATGAATACTAAAAAAAGCTCCTAAGTATCTGACAGTTTGGCCCCAATGGTCACTTAAATGAACAAAATTACGCCCACTGATTTCAGCTGGCGTTGGTGAACCTGGCTGCTATCTGTGCGTGCCCATGTACAGCAGCTAATTGTTGGACACAAAGTTGAGATGCACACCTCTTGATATGCCAAGCAGCATCAACCTCTGTAAATATGTGTGCTGCTTTTTAAAATAGCCCACCTTGGAATAGGAAACCATTGTTTTGTTTGTATGTGGTATCCTTAATGCATAACATCACAAAAATCTTTCCAACTGTAGCTAAAGAGAAAACCAAGGTTTCAAAGGTGAAGTTAAAGACAGGAAAGCCAGACTGTGATTTGTTGGGGAGACCGGAGAACAGAGTAGGGGTTTTATGAGAGAAAATGCAAGCTCCTGGGATGCAGGCTGCAGGAAGTGATGGAGACACAGCATTACTTCACAAGGTCAGAGGGATGCAGCTGTAGTTAATAAAACCCCCCCAAAAATCCCAAATAAACAATCAACCCCTCTCTCCCCCCAAAAACAGACTTTAATCATGAATTCATGAATTATACAGGTTTTATTTAACAAAGACTTGTTTAAAAGCAAAGCAAATGAAAGCAGCAACTGGTCTTTGAAAATAAACCTCTGAGCTCCACAGTCAAAGGCTGTTATAGACTTATTCTTTTCTCAGTCAGTGATGAACTCAGTACTAATTAATTTAGGACACACCTTTCTGAAGCTTGGTTATTCCCTTGGGCAACAGCTTTACCTCACATTAATTTACAGTTCAATGGCAATTTTATGGATACTTGATCTTTTATTACTGTATAACCTATATAACCAGGGTTGAACAGATTTTGCTAGTAGGATAAATGATAACTTGGTTGTAAAATGAGTCATTGGCATTGCCTTTTCAATACATTACAAGCCAGATTGTCAGAGGCCTTTGCTCTGCCATGCCGTGGTGGTGGGGCATACAGGCAGGCAGCCCTTCTTTGCACAGCTGCACAAGGGCTTTTCACAACTGCAAAGCATGGTCCACTTGTCCTCTGTGGAATGAGAACACAGACAACTCATGCTGGTTTCACCTGTGCCCCACCATCTCGGCTCTCTTGACTCCAATATTCTCTGCAACCCAGTAGCTCACTCCCACCCTGATGCCTGGAGCTGCCCTGTCTGCTGGAAGCACAGTCTGTCTCAGGAGGCTTTGTCTAACTAGCTGCAATCCAGATCTTCTTGAGCTTCAATCCTTTCGGGTTCTAAGCACTCTGACTGTACTATAATACAACACGTAAACACATTAATTGACCCCATTGACTTCATTTGCACTGTGCATATGCCTAATTTAAGCACATGCTTATGTGCTATACAGGACCGGAGCCAGAGGGCTCAGTACCTTACATGACCAACCCTAAGTAGGTACTCCTGATGGACAAAAAGAATTACCCATTTTGGAGGCAGACAGGTCACTGATGCTTTTCCCTTGGGTTCATTCTTCAACTTGAATTTAAAATGCCAACATCCATTACTCTAAAGAGAACAAGGCCAAAGTGGCCACATTCCTTCCTCTGTCATGGCGGTGGAAACCCAGAGTGACTTGTAAAAGAAACCAAATTCATCTCAGTCCCCAAAGCTGTTGAGGCTCACATCAGTTCAAGTGTCAGAAATACAGACCAGTCCTCTTTCATTTAATGCAGAGGGGGAGTTGCTTGTTAAGATTGTCTCTGGTGGAGCAGAAGATCCTGACTGTTCAGCTCCTGTACACAGCAATAATGTCATTGATGCAGGAATCATTTGTCTTCGGTGGCACTTCTTGCATGTGTAATTGCTTGCTAACATGAATAAGCTTTGCATGATCTGGTTCTAAGTGAGAAGTAGAGGAGAAAGCTGGACAACGCATATTTTAGCAGTTAACATGTTCATTTAACTGCTTTGGTTTTGGATAGTTTGAGAGAAAATGAATGAGTTTTTGGACAGTTTGATGATTCTAAAAAGTCACAAATAACCCTCAACTTTCCATTTGATGAATGAATAATTCTGGACGGTGTCACTAGAAAGTCATTGTCTGAGACAGCTGTCTGCAGGTGGAGTCTTGGTAGATTTTTTCTGTCTAAATATATTTATGGCATCAGAAGGTATCTGTTTAATGTTTACCAGGGCACACCTACCACCCTGTAGGATTATGATAGCCCTTGTATCATAAAAAATACTAAACTAATTACTATAGTCTTTGGTGCAACTCTTTACTGTATGTATTTATTTTTTATTTCTTAGTAAAATCTTCCATCTCTTTTACATACCTATACTGTCCTGTTATTTTATCTATGTTAGGCACAATATCCTAGGATATATTAACCTTCTGGAACTTAGCTCAGTTTGGAATAAGTAATAAATATAACCCAGAAGTTAAAACGAGAGAGAGAGAGAGAGAGAGAGAGAGAGAGAGAGAGAGAGAGAGATTTAAGGGTAACAACCATTATTGTGGGCAAAGGTATATCAGTAACTCATTATTTTGGATCAGAATATGTATGTTCCCCATAAGTTAAATACCCTATTAGATTAATTTTGTTACTGAAAATAATTTATATTATGTAGCTTGAGATAAAACTTTAATTGAGCACTGCAGTTTTAGAAAATGGCTTTATTATGTTTATAAAAAAATGTATGCCACACTATTTTAAGACTCCAGTCAGGATAGAATCCAGTGCAGTGAACAATGCCAGGCCTGGAGAGCAGTTCTCTCTAAAGAAAACAGAACAAAATATCAACGTGGTACAAAACAGTGACTTGACCAATATTTCAATTTTAGATAAAATCCATCTTCAAAATGAATCAATCAGGTTCTTATGGCACAACAACACTTTTTAAAAAAAATTGGCACTAAATTTATTCAAATGCAATATTTCTAAGTTGCTGTCACCCTTCCAAATATATCTTAAAGGGAAAGGAAATGTCTTTTACAGCATTAAATCCTATTCAGTGGTACCTAAACAAACAAAATATGCAGCTTCTTTGAATGTGTGTGTTCCTGCATGCATGTCTCATTGATGTGCTCAATAATACAAGATGATTGCATTTATGGAAGGTCCTAAGGATTTTCAGTCTCAAACTCGTTTTAGGAACTTGGGAGGTCCAGCTGCCTTGGTCAGAGATGGGAAAGAGTTTGCCCTTGAAAAAATGGCTTATGGAGGCCCTTCTGCTATTCAAGAATGAGAGCTGTTTAATGCATGTTCTATGACTTATAAAGCTCAGATCTGGCTAATCTTTATTCCATCCTTCTCCCCCACAGGCATCATTCAAGCCCAAATTAAGCCAATCCAAATCCCAGGTGTCAACCATCTGAGGTTGGTGCTTCAAAGCCTGAGCAATATTACCTTTGTTTTGACTAGTAATTCTTAATCATGCAAAAATATGATCTTAATTTTAAAATGTGGACTCTGCAATAACAGCAGTAATAAAGAACTCTTCTTAAAACTCTGTGTATTACTAAGTAATGTGTACTGAAGGCCATAAGTAATAGTTATAGGCAGCTTTGAACTCCATGACCTGGAGATGGCACCCTTTCCATTAAATTTCTTTCTTATCCATGGGTAAGCGTGATACTGGAGATTCACCATATTGTTATACCCGAAAAAGCATGAGCTAAAACGATACTGAATCTAGATTCATCCCATTTCAGAAACCTAATTCACTTCTTGAACTGACAGTAATATGGGCTGCATGGTAGAATCAAACCTCTCCAACCCACTGTTTGCACTCGCACTCTTTGAGCCATATCAGGACATGATGTCTAGGCTGATGGGTTCATCCCAGACTCAAGATACTTCCCTATCCTCTCGGGATCAAGTTCTGGCTGCAGATGAACAACCAGCACCAGACAGCCAACACCATACAGAGTGCCATACATACTACTTGCAAATGTCTTTCACTAGAAAGCAATTACTTACTTTAGCCCAGGGTTTCCTACTTTCCATTTATGCCACTCAAAACAGCTTATCAGTGTATGCCCAGTGGTTCACCAAGGTATCTTCATTACATATGTTTCAGGAAACAGCACTTGCAGAGTGGGTGTACCATACTGCACTGCCACGCATGCTATGGCATCCCCTCATTCTTACTGCAAGAAGCATTTAATGAGAACTAGAAAGTCATATAATGGAGCCATTTATGTATGTGAATATGGCATCCTGCACTTGGACAGGCTGAGAGGCCTACTGGGACATTGTTTTGTCAAGGTCCCCTCCAGTCACAGGCTTGGATCACAAATGCTGACATTTTCTGAGGTGCCAGAGGGAATTAAGATGCTCAATTCATTGCATGTCAGTAGAAACAGAGCCCCTAATTCTTGGAGGCATTTGAGTCTCTCAGCTAAGGATACTGCTTTCAACTTCTTCTGGCATGCAAGACCTAGAGCCAAAACCCCAGAACTCTGCATGCTGCTAGGTTGTACAAAGAGATGTAAAAATTAGCCTGTAATCAGAATCTTAAATTCTTCCTCTTGTTATTAATTTATTCAGTGGGGGGAAGGCATTTCATACATTAAGTTTTAGTGTCTGTTATTTGATGGTAATCAATTAATTTTTAACTATCTTTCAACCCTCTTTGAAGTTCTATAAATACCCTAAGCTAATAGAGACATTTTTATATTGGGAATGCAAATCCACTGTGAGCTTATTTAAAAAAAGAAGAAGTCTGGTATAGCATGTTTGTTCAATGTGTTATTAACTCAGAAAGAAAATTGAGCCATACTGAACAGCAGAGATCTGATTCTGGGGGTTGCAAACAATTCACAGTTAAAATGACTCAGACTAATTCACATTTTTTACAAGTGAGAAGGTTCAGAATGACCTTGAATTGAAAGCTCTGGACTTGCCCAGCTGTTTCCTTTCACTGTGTCCAAAATGCCTCAGAGGTGATGCTGTAAAAATGATGGAGAGAGAGGGAGTGAGAAAGAGAGAATAATTTTAGGGGTGGTTTCAGCATCTGAGATCCTGAAAGTGGATGAATAACATGAATTTAGATTGATTTAGTTTACACTTTCCTATGAGAGAGAGTTCAAACCATTTTATTTTTGATGGCAAATGTCAAGAGCAAACACTGTAGAAAGTTTGCATAAAGGAAGATCTGAGGGAGCACAGGAGCATCAGCTGGTCATAAGAAGTCTCTCATCAGATTGTTAAGTTGAAAAAAAAATCTTATGCTGTCAGAAGTGAAAAAAATCTGAAAATTTTAACATAGTGGATTTCAGCCCAGCTCCCTCAGGTGTGCGGTCTCTCAGCAGAACCCTGAGTAGCTTTCCCCGTCGTTTTTTGGCACCCGTATGACAATTCTCAGTGCAGCTCCTCTTTTTGCTGAAAATACTTCACAGACAACACCGCAGGTTGTGGAAGTTGCTCTTAAGAGCAGCAATTCACTCTGGAGGGATGAAAAGACATAAACGGAGGGATGAAAAGACATAAACTCTCAACTGAGGCAGAAAATACTCAGACATATTAGTGGCCTTTTTTAAAATTTACATTTTCCCTGTTAGTTCACCCCTAGATCCTAATGCGTGATTTACTAATTAATTACTATTATTAGCTAATGGCAGTGAAAACTGAAATTACTGCCTGCCTAAAGCATAACAAAATTGACAATAAATTTATAGTTTGTGAATCACTTTCTTCTACAGGTCTGTTAGCAAACATTAGAGCTGTGGCTGCCTAGGTCATTCCATGAAAGTCATCCTGAACACAGGATGTCATGGCTTGGATATGGTAGTTGTGGAGCATTGCTCTCATCTTTGCCAAGGATGTACTGAGAAAAGGGGATAGCAAATAGGGCTCTGGTAGGCGATCACAGAGTGACACCTTGTTTAGGCAAAAATTGCTCTTACAAGTATGGTAGTTCTCTTGCTCTCTCTCGGTATACACGTAATTTCCCTTGTATCAGTGAAGATAGTCCTGTGCCAAACAAGGGAAAGAACAACCAAAAGCAGTAGCATAACAAGGGCAGGGTAAACGGCGCACTAACCCTGGCTGTAAATTTAGAGTGGGGTGTCAGCAGCATCCTGTAGTGCTCCATAAATCTACTTTCTGGTGTTCAGCATTCCCCCTTCTCCTCCCTCCCCTGACTTTTCAGTGCTTGGCATCCTCATACTTTCCCACCCCTGGCTCTCTGGCAGGTGATATCTCTGACCAAGGGACAAAAAATGACTAGTCATGACTCTGGCCAATAGAATCATGACTGACAATTGACAGTGACATTTCTGTCTTAGATGGGATATTTCCCTTTCTCAGAAAATGGCATATTCTCCAGCATACAATTGATAAGGGGATTTGAGAAGGGGAACCATGTCAATTCAGAGGACCATCTTAAAACTTAAAGCTAAAACTCAAACAGGGGTGGCCAAAGTTAGACTCCTAAATTCTTATGCAGATTTACTTAAGCAAGGGGCCAGATCTGTAAAAAGCCTCAGCATCTAAAGCTCCTACTAGCAATATATATCAACTAGGGATACTGCTCAATAGCCACCTCAGGAGCAAGGTGATAAAGTATCCCTAGTCATGTCTAAACCATGCCTCAAGCAGCCTTGGCGAGAGTCACTCTCAACCTGGAAAGATGCCAGTGAAGCTCCTCTGAAGGTGTTCCTCTCCTGCTACTCTCAAGATCTGTCTCCAGCATCCTTGAGAATGGGTGGGGTAGTGCTCCAAAGTGGCTTCACTACCTCATGTCTAGGATTCATGTGTGTGAACAGGAGCAAATGGTCAGCCCAAGTTCAAGAGCAGCCTGCCTGGAAGCACTGGCAATACAGTGTAGACTTATCTTTTGTGTCCCAATGGTTTGAGTGAAACAAGGACTTCCAGTGACTGGATAGTGGAAAGGAGGCATTTTAAATAAAAAAAAGATGCTGTATCTGAAAAGGAGAATATCCTCTTGTTTTTACTTCTCCAGTCTCATTTTCCACAAATAACTTTCCATAGTACTGTGCTAATGAAGCTATATGAGTAAGTGGGACTGAGGTTTCCAAGTCACTTGAGTACTTTTGAAAATGTTAGCCAATAATAGCATTGGAGGAAATCAGTACAGAGTGGTCACTTTCAATGTTGTGTAAGGTATTGTTCTGCCTACACAGAGGATGGGTCTGAACCCAAGATTTTCATCGGTATAAGCAAATTATCAGTGTAAACCTAGTGTAAATCTATCATAAATAATCCCATGCCACATCTTCCTTACTACCAACTTAATGGCTTTGGCTGAGAGATGTCTACACTTTGTTCTCTATCTCAGGGCCTTTGGTAGATGCCAAGAGCTGGCCAAGAACTATCTTAGTCTGGCATTAAAAGACTGCCCATAGAAAATAACCCTCAGACTGAAAATGGGAGCAATTCCACCCAGTAACCTAACTAAGGTGGGGTGACTGGGGCAGTAGCCCTGTGCTCTAACTTGGGGGTGAGGGCACAGAAAAATAAGAGGTGCAGCTGTTGTTAGTCAGCTATGCTGCCGGCACCAGCACCCAGGAGGTGCTGCTGCCCTGTGCCCTGCCCTATACAATCCTAGCAGGATCTTTAGATGCTGAGGACTTTTACAACTATGATCCCTTGTTTAAGTATTAAGAATTTAGGGGTCTAACTTTGGGCAACTCAACCAGCAAGCTGCCTTGCTATGCCCCAGATACCAACAGATTCACAGTCTGTCTTGCAGTCAGGTCTCTGACCAAACTTAAGTTGCTGAAGTGGCTCTCCACTACAGGTGCATGTGCAGTGTTTGTTTGTATAACAATTACTTTCTTTCCCAGTCTGAAACAGTGGGTGATCTCCAACGTTGGAACAAAATCAATAGGCAGAAGAAAACAGTTTAGAAAAGAATGACAATGAAGTCACTCACTCAAACAGGAAGTTAGCAATGCATTGTTAGAACAAAAGAAAAGAGCCTAAGGAGACAGCTTTAATGTAGCGCCTAGATACCATAGTGACCAACAACTGCATGGATACATTAGGTAGATTTAAGGTAGTTTAGACATCCAAGACATGTAGGAGGCAACACAACTATGGCAGGATACCAGGGCAGCTGCCCCAGGTGCCAACATTAGGTGTGGGGGGAGGGAACAGGGTGACCAAGCAGAAAAATATCTGGTGTGACTACAGCCACGCAGCAGCAGCCAGAAGTTGCTGCTGCCCCCAGCACCTGGCTGCCTTGTTATGCCTCTGCTTATAGGTCACATGAAGGAAATCAACAGAAATATAGTGTACTGAATATTCTATCCCATTCAAAAATATACAAAAGAAAGCAAGAACCAGCAGCGGCCAGCCAAAATTACGAATGCAGTTCCATTTAACAGAAAATCAATATGACAATAAGATGCCAGTAATGAAAGAAAAACCACAGCAGTGTCTCAATAAAGATTTCAAATTACAAGATTATAAATGGAGAGCCACAGTCATGTTGGACAGGCAAATATGACCACAGCAATACTGGATAGTTTAGGATAAGTGCCTGCAGTTTCCAACAAAGCCAACGGGAGCTACAAACGTGCATCTAAGGGCAGGATTTGGCTCTAGGACTTGAACATGAATAATCATGGCAGAGAGAGATGAAATCCTAGAAATAAAAGACTTGCTTGTGAGAAACCCATATAGCCAAACCCATGGGGAGATCCTTAAAGGAAATCTCTGCCATTCTTTATTTCCAAGGTTCTTGTACAATCTGGTGGAGGTTTTTTATTAAGTACAGACACTATTTATTAATAATAGTATTAGACTCTTTTATCCAAAGAGCTTCAAATATTTTCTAGACATTTATTAAGTGAGCTTTACAGTGGTCTCAGTCCTGTTCCTATTAATGATATCAATGGTAAAATGCCTTGCCCTTTAACTTTAATAGTACAGGATCAAGGTTATTGTGCAGAAGCAGGTATTCATCTGTTCATTTTACCAAGCAGGTAAACAGAAGAGATGTTGAATGGTTTTGCAAAGTGATGCTTGAGACAAGTGTGGCAGAGTTGGGACTTCCAGGAGTTCTGGCTCCTAATTTGATATTTTACCACCAGTCCATTCTTCCCATTCCAAACAGTTGTGTATTTAAGCAATATATTAAACACCATAAAATTATAAACTTCTTTCTTGCACATGATTATAATTAAACAACTCTGTAAAGTAAAACATTAGCTGCCGGGAAGACATGCTGTCCCTTGTTGCTTACAAAAATGTATTCATTTCTGAACAAATCTATAAGGTGCCATCCTACCCTGCCTTCTGTCTTTCTTACACTGTCATCAAACGGCGACCTTAGGAGGTTTAGTGTGGGGGAAGGAAGGGGGAGAGGAGGGCTTACGTGTCTGTGGCTTACAAAAGGTTAATGTCCCTGTGCTTTTCTATCTGAATATCTTCACAGCAAATGGATTAGTGAACTGTATATTGATAAAATTATATCAGAGAAAAGGAAATGGGGGAAGATTATATAGAATCAGGCTGTAGAGTCAAAATGGTGGAAGTCTGTAAATTGAATATGCTGGTGATACCAAAGAGAAAAGCGTGTAGAAAAATGATAAATTAGCGAAGAGAAAGCTTCAAACTCAGGAAGCATCTAGGAAAGGAAACTTTAGCAACATATTAGGAAGAAAACAGAGCAAATGAAATGCCTAAACTGCAGACAAGCTAAACTCAAAAAGAGAGTGAAAGAAACTGCAAGTATTAGCATGTGACAAATCTGTAAAGTCAGGAAAATGACACACCTCTAAAGGGAATGATCTACTACCAGCAGAAAAGACAACAGCCTAGATTAAAAACAGGAAAAGTCATTTAGTAGCTGAATCTTGCTGAATTCTGGCAAAACTCCAAGAGACACCCAAATCTACATGTATCAAGAAACAAAGGCGCTCATTAGAAGAATGAATCTAAATCAATATTGTGCATGTTGGAGACAGCCAGGGTCCAAACCAGAGAACATTCAAAAGCACTAATGAAAATTGTGTTTCACAACTCTGTCTTGGTTGGATTTTTTCTCCCCTTTTCAAAAAATGGCATATTCTCCAGAATACTACTGATGAGAATCCTGCCAGTAACTCAATAATATTGGATTCCCCCCTTACAGCCACTACCTGAAACAAAAAAAAAAAAGAATAACC